TCGAAATCTTGTTCAAAATGTAAAAATCTTGCATTCTTTGCACATTGTAGATAAGAAAATTGATGAACTCAATTTAAAATCAAATTGTGTTCAATCAAAAATCACAAATTTTTTTCATAAAAAGTGAAAATAAAACTAATATTTAGCGACGTAATTACTTTTTCCATCAATTTTTGCTTTATTATCTGTTAATTAGTTAATAATTTTTTAAATAACTTATGCAAAATTGCAAAGCCAATTTTCAATCATTCAACTGTCTTATGCAAAAAATATTCTTCAAAAAATTTGGATATAGTGAACCATCGGTTATAGTGGACACATTACTGAGTCCGCAGGCGGTTCACTATAGCGGGGTTCGACTGTATATATTTGCTTAATTTATGAATTATAACCTAGAGGAAATTTCTTGCATTCCAATCAGCCAATCGCACCCAATTGGCAAATGAGAAACCAAAAAATAAATAATTAAATTAAATTTAAAAAAAAAGAATAGGTAATATTCCAAGGGTAAAACTTATAGCAATTCTAGGAAAGCCTGTACAATATTTTTTAAAAATTTATAGCATGTACAAAAACACAGCTGCACCCATTAATATCAGTAGAGATGAACATTTGCAAATATCAAAATGTCCCCCAAAGAGTCAAAGTGATTTTGGGGAATTAGATACTTTTAAATTTAAATATTTGCAATAAATTTTAGGAAAAAAAAATTATGAATCGATGTAGCTTGAAGATGGTTTCAAATTGCACAATTTCAGTATGCCCTATTTAGATTTTTTCTTCTTTAGTAGGTATTTCATTTGTCAAACCTTACTGGATTTTTCCTAGAATCTTTGACTGTTTAATTTAATATCAAGTACATTTGGCATAGAATATCAGCCTATACAAACTTATTATTTAAATAAAAATAAAAAAAGATTTTCTAGTAAAACATAACATAAATGAATATATTTTTAAAATATTTGAGGTTGCCTAAAATTACTAACTGGCACAAACTACATTGAATGGTATTGAATATTACAATCATTTAACACAGTGTTTCCCAAAGTGTGGTACGCGTACCACCAGGGGTACGGGAACAGTTTAATGGGGGTACGCGTTCTCATGCGAAATATCTAGCAGCAAACAGAAATTTCAAAAAATTTTATTTAAAAATAAAGCTAGCCATGAAAATTAACGATTACATATTTTACTATTGGCTATTTTTTGCAGAGTTAACAGTTAATAATTAGTGGTATCAACAGTCAGTTGTAATTTTTATCTTTTGTGCAATTTTCTTATTGTAAAAAATGCATTCATTTTTTAATTGGTGGTACACAGCGTTACGAAAAATTAAGAAAGGATACACAAAAGTCATAAGTTTGGGAAACACTGATTTAAGACATCAGAAATAATATTAAAAAAAACTTCAGATTTTTAAAATCTGGAAGCTTTCTAAAATGAAATAAACTTTGCATGCACTGCATTGTGTAGAAGCACAAAAAAAAAAAAAATATTTTTTAAACAGGATTATGCTATATTGAGTAAGAAAACATTCTAACAAAATGTCANAAAAAAAAAAAAAAAAAAAAAAAAAAAAAAAAAAAAAATGAATAAAGAAATGGAATAACATTAATAAACAATGTCTGAAGCTACTGGAATTATAAATATTTTTGTAACAAATATTGCCATAGAAATATTTTTTCAATTTTTGTATTAATTTACCTACTTTTTAGTAACAGTATGAGCATTTTATTAATAGTAACAGCTATTCCATTTTTGGTATATAATACAAGGCGTTAAAATAAGGATGATCTGTTTGTCCTATACCACTCAAATCCACCACAAAATAATGAAAAGTACTACTTCTTCAAACAAGTGCAAAGGAATGGTATACTGATTATGCTTTTATGTTTCAGTCTATGTTTCTTGTCACAAGATCTTTATTCTGTGTTTCTTCAACGTAATTTTGAACGCAACATTCTTTTAGGTTTTTCCTCTAATTTTTTTCTCTTTTGTTTTGCTTTTAAAATAAATTATAATGTTGTTCTATTTATAGACATGTATTGTAACATTAAACCTGTTCATTAAAACACATAAATTTTCCATGAAATAATTTGGAACTGTTAATTATTGGGAGTACAAATTAATTCGGTCCGTTTTTTTGTGGTCAAAAATGCATTTATTTCAGAACAAAATGAATGAACAGATTAATCAAAGTATTGTCTATCGCTGGCTACTACTATTTCCCATCTCTCAGGCAATTTTCGAATTCCATCTCGAAAAAATGTCTCGTCTTTAGAGGCGATCCAAGTTAGGAGCCAATTTTCTATTTCTGCAAAAGAAGTGAACTGGTGAGCTGCAAAATCATGCTGCATCCATCGGAACAACCAGTAATCAGAAGAAGCAATGTCCAGTGAATACAGCGGGTGTGGTAAAATATCCCACTTGAGCGTTTCCAAATAATTTCCTACCACTTTTGAGACATCAGGCTGATCGTTATTAGACAGAAGAATAACTTTGTCAAGTCTCTGCTCGTATTCTGCCCTTTTTTCTCGTAATGCACTGATCAAATAAATCAATTGTAGCCTATACCGATCGCCCGTAATAGAATCACCAGGTTGTAGCAGCTCATAGTATACAAAACTATTCACCATCTATCATTCACCAGTCTTGAAACGTCGAAATCGTTCCCTACATGATTTATCAGTTGGAGCATTGTCAACATAAACTTCTACAAGCATTCGATGCACTTTTCTTCCAATTAAAGCAGAAACATAAAACCTCCAGCAAATGGTGCTTCATTACCGCAAAATTTGACATATTCAACAAAGTAAAAAACAGGGTTTTTGTATGAAATTCAAAACGATATGAAATGAATATTATTGACAGATGTTTAACTTTTTTTAAAAACGGACCAAACTAATTTGTACACCCAATAGTTTAGAAAAAAATAGATATTGGGTGCATGGGAAATTGGTTTTTATTAAATTTGTAAATTTTTTTTATTATTTAAATTTAATGCAGCCTAATAAATGGATCAGTGAAAATGTGTAGCTATAAATAAATAAAATCTTCAAGTAATTGGTCATTCTTTTACACCAGTGATTAAAATTTTCTTACCACTCTCGCAATACCTTTAATGCACTGCTTATATTGAAATACTCTATAAATGATACAATTACAAAGAAAGGTATTTTTCCTTTTCGCCAGCACAGGCGACAAAGTACCCAATGCAAAGTTACTGGGAGCAAGTAAATTAAACTGTTTCTTAAATTATTTATAAGTTTTTTGTAAAATTTTTAATGTGACAGTTATTTTTTTAAAAAATTAACAAAAAATAAAATGGCTGAATTTACTTATACCAATGAAATGGAAAAGAACCAAAAGAAATTATTGGAATTGTCAAAGCTTCACACAAAAGTTTGAGTTGTATAAAGAGTTTAGGAATAAAAAAAGCAATTTTTTATAACTCTAAAACAACAAGCTATGGACGACTAAATTGATAGTATATAGGTTAATATGAAGTTATTTTGCTTAAAAAAAAAATCTTTTTCACGACTTATGTAAGCGACAAAGTATAATTTTAGCCCCTAGCAATCATCAAAATTAATGTAAACAAATCTTAAGACGAGAACCAATTGCAGAGTTTAAAATTTTCCCCTAAAATTTAAATGATTCCATCTTTAGGAGAATTAAAAATATAAGAATATTTAGAAACAAACTATGTAATTTCAGTAAGTGATTATTTTTAGAGAAAAATGAACAGGTACACTTTAATTCAATATGGGTATATTCCTTCATAACAGAATTTTAGAAAGCTAATTTAAAAAATATTTCCTTAAACAAAACATACATAATTATGAATTATACTTTAATTATCTTACTTTTTTACAACGAAAAAAGGATCTTCAACTGTCATATCCTATCTGTTTTGCCCATTCAGTCAATCGTTAGAAGTACATGTAATAATATTTTAATATGCTAATTGAGAAGTTTTTTTTCGATAAAATGGTACGAACTAGTTTTTTGTCGCTGTATAACCTTTGCAACGCAATAACACATACATCAAATTATTGCATAAATTGAAGAGGAATTTCGGCAAATAAATACGAGCAAGCTACGTAACTTGTGGCCATGACCACGAAGGTGTGTTTTCCTCTGAACTTCAAGCTCATATTGATTCGCTGTCTATGAACTAAACAGATTTTTCAGTTTTCGATCATATATTTCAACAAACTCCCTACTCTTCTTGAAAATCAGTTTATTCGGATTAAGTTGAAGAGAAAAGTGTATCAGTTGCGAGATTTAGAATGCTCGTAAATTTAGGAATGTGATCATTATTAAAAATTATAAAATTTATTCCCTGTCTAGATTTTAAAACAGACTTTGAAAAATGACCTGTAGTTGATATATCAATAAAATGAAACCTATACGTTTTTCGTTTATTTTTTTTTAATAATAACTGTGACTGTGCAATTGTCGATCAGAGAGGCAAACCACAGAGGAATAAGAAAGAGATTCCACTCCCGCCTATCAAGCGCCAAGTTTCGCTCAGTAAGAATAGTCTTAGTGGCGCCATCTATTGCAATATAGCTAAACTAATTTCGAATATAAGTTATACTCTTAAATTTCATTAATAAGTACCAAAATATTTTAAAATTCACTATTCAATCAACAATAGTTTATAATATTTAGGTGCAAAATTTAAATTGCTTTAGTCAATGACTTACAATTTTCGAAATCATTAGTATTTAAATAAAAAATTAAGGATGATATTCTACTACATCATAAAAAAATGAATGATAAAAAAACAGAGAAAAATTTCTATTTAAAATATGATTTAGAAAACTAGCAGCAATTTTTGAAAATCTTTAATTTTAAGGTTAGATGGATTTTGTAACAAATTATTCTTGTTAAAGCTTACATTAAGACAAAATTATTTATAATAATCTAGAATTTTATTTTGAGAATTAAAACAAATAT